AAGCTCAAACACTCTTAGGTTGTCCGATGTCCAAGCGACACGGGCAGATGAATGAATCGGACATGCTGTAAGCGGAGTGTAATCTTTTGCCCCGCAACATGTAGAACGGTCACTAGCTTGACGAGGAATTAGATTTGAAGCGACACTATTAAACATGCGAGTTGTTTGAGTGGCACGGTGTTGTTTGACATTTATGAATTTAGAGAGATTTGACTTGGAGGGGATAAAACGATGTGAAATTCGAGACTGTCCACAAAAACAGAACTTGGGACTTTATTCATCAGTGGTGCGGCGTGTTTTGGAATATATCGATTGATCTGCCATTTAAACCTACGCAAAAAGATCGATGAGCAAGGTGTTCGCAATGACCACCATAATAGTTGATTCTTTACCACAGCTTTAAATGGAAAGATATCGATGATCGATTATTAAGGCCTCACCACTGGTATTCATAGCCACTCCTGAAAGAATTTTTTCCTTCGGAAGGACCTATATCGATGCCTAAAGTGCGATACCGCGAATCTTCATTGCAATGTTGCAACATTTTTGCTCTTATTTTATTTATTTGATGATAAACAAGGAAACTTTATAATTTGAAATTAAGACAGCATAGGCTGCTAACAGAGAGGAAAATTCGAGGAAGTTTTCAAGAAATTACGTTGCCTACGTTACTTTTCAAAGAAAAAAGCAAGTATAGCAAGAATTTTGCAACGTCGCAAATGTAGATTGTTGGTTTCCCACTTTGACCATGGATCTGGTATATATTCTTATGAAAGCATGCAGACACACATCATAAAGCACACACACAGTATCATAAAGAGGACAATATTTGAGAGCGTTCGCTTAAATTCAGCAGTATAATCTTGGGTTCAGATTCTTGCAAGAGATTAGATTGATTTGACATTGCAATAAATACAAAAAATAAAACGAAAAATTCCAAGATTTACCTTCGATGAATATACATTCGTTTTTTATCTCAATACTGAAAGCTGTAAATTATATCGAGTAGACAATCATATCGAAACACAAGTCACAATCTGCCGTGCTATGGAAAACCGCCGTATAAACATTCCAGAGTTGCCAAATTTCCCCGAGTAAAACATGTATTTTGGATGGCATATATTTCCTTGAAATTTTCAGATATTTTAAGTTAAATAAAATTGCGAAAAAAATTGTCTGTTAAAATTATGAAACAAAATGTTCACAATATTCCCGGTTGAGACTTTTAATGAAGGAAATATGGCAACATTTGAAGGTTTATACGGCGTTTTTCCTCAGCAAGGCAGTACTGTACTTGTAGTGGTTACGAGTATACATTTTAAAAATATATAAACGTACGGTTCTTTCCCACATATCACTCCAAAAATCCTCTGAAAGAAAGCACGACCGGAAATCGCGACATAGGAAAAGTGAATTTGCACCGATCTGCTTTAACGAAATTACGATTTGGCTTAACGAAGAGCGTATCCTCAATCGGTCAATGGAGTGTGAATCATAATCTGTATCTGCCCGGCAGGTGTTTTGTGTGACCCACATTCGCCACAAGAATGAGAATGAGATCGCCGTTGTCGAGTCCGTCAAAGAATGTTTTAATTTACCCCACGAGAACTTAAAAATATGCCATTCGTTCGAAGAAAATTGGCAACTCTGAATCTAACACTTGAGATGATGAGCGCCACGATTCCTGCCTAGTGCCAAGTACTCGTTCTTCGTGCGCATTGTTATCGAATGGACGTGTATATGCAAAAAAGAACTATGTGCGTAAATTAATAAACTCAGAGGGAGCTATATACTGCCGTGCTAAGGAAGATTGCCGTATGAACATTCGCGAGTTTCCAAATTTCCTCCGGTAAAATGTCTATTTTTGAGGAACGCTATGCATTCTTTTCCTTTAAATTTTCAGAAACTTTCGGTAAAATAGTGAACAAAATTATTTGAAAAATTGGAAGGAATATATCCTCACGCTTACAAGGAGATTCGTGTTTTATTAAAGTAAACTCGGCAACGCCTGAAGGTCCATACGGCGTTTTTCCATAGCAAGGCAGTATGGAGCACGCAAGTTCTATGCACATTGTGTCTTTCGATTTATTTCAGTTGCACATAAAAAGTTCTCTCAAGAATAAATACGCCTAAATATGATTGTGCATGGAAAGGAAGATCTTTGTTCAGAGAATCTCAAAATTCAATAATCGATAGGGGGTTAAAGAGTAGCGCCTTTTCCGGACGAAAATCGCCCAAAAATATTGAAAATGGAGACTTGTATGGAAACTTTAATTCGATGTTTTGTAATTGAACCATCATGCAGAGAATATTCCCCGCAAACATAACTTGGAGACTTTAACGCATGGATAGAAAAATAACCTAATTTTTTACGATCATTCAAATATTTTTCACCGTGCATACAAGATTATACAGACGAAATTTCTCGTTAAATATGAATAGATGTGCAATGTTTAGGAAAGTAAGAGTATCCTTGTGTAATTTTTACACATTGTACAAACAATTCACAATAATTTACCTATTTATCAAAGTAATTCCAATGTTCTTATAAAAGATACGTATAAAAACCATATACATAAAAAGGATATCTCTGGTAATCCGGTGAAACAATCTCTAGGAAGGTAAATTTCGAATACATTACCATTTATTTGGCAAATAGGTGGATTGAAACAGTTTTTTTTCTATTTTGTGTTTGATGTATGAGGGTTGTTTAAAAAAAAACATGAGGGAGACAACGCAATGAAAAGCTTTAATTTAGAGTTCTCACCTCATCCACAGGCCCATACCAACATCCATCTTCTTCGTAATCAGTAATTTTGGTCTCACCTGGCAACAGTTTACTACTTTTTCTCCTTTGCACCTCAGGCATTTTACATCGTACATTTATTTCCCTACCTCAATCTGCCCTTGTTAGGAGCATTGACTTTTCTTTTTTAATATGTGTCAATGGCAGAATCCAAGGAGTTTGCCGCTTTTAAGAGCTTTCTACTCTCCACCTTTCAGCCTTTTTGCGTGCAAGCTTTATTGTCCTTTGAGACGCATTCCATGGTTTCTCCTGGGGTTTTACCTAATGCTTTCGGACTTTAATCAAATTCAGAATACACTGTTCGAAAATCAGAGTTCAGGTATAAAAACGTAATGAAAATTTTAATTCCAAGTGTCAGTGGCGTGGCGTGCTTTGCGATATATCGATTGTTATGCCATTTAAACCTATGGAAAAATATCGATAGGGTGTTCGCAGCGAACACCTCAAAAATCGATTCCTTACCATAGGTTTTAATGGCAGAACAATCGATACATCGCAATTCACGCCACGCCACTGTTCCAAGTCCTTCATCATTAAAACTCCCAGTCTGCCGTGCTAAGGAAAAACGCCGTATGAATATTCGAGAGTTGCCAAATTTCCTCAGATAAAATACTCTTCCTCGAGGAAAGTTATGACCATTGGTCTTTGACATTTTCAGGAAATTTTCAAACAGATTCACCCAACGATTTCTCTGCAAAAAAATAAAATGGCGGGGAAAATTTTGAAACGTCGCATGGCGCTAGTGATACTTCGGCTGGAAGGTGCACTGAAAAAAAATTCTCGGCTTTTTTACCACGGTCCGTTGGTACCTTTACCATCTCACTTTTTTTTACCAATTATTGGTAATTTTACCAAGACAGACTGGTAATCTTACCTAAGAACCGGTATTTTTACTGTTTTTTATGTAAGAATACCACTTTTATTGGTAATCAATTCCCGGTAACTTTGCCATTTTATCTGGGTAATTCCACCACGGTTGATTAAAAAATATTGGCGTTTTTACCAAGGTCCAGTCAAATTACAGAAAATTGGACTGGACGTCTTAAGAAAGTTCAATAATTTTACCGAGATTTCTCGGTAAAATTACCAATTCCATAAATGGTAATTTTACCAAGAAAAAACTGGGATCAAATAGAACCCTGAATTCTTGGTAATTTTACACTTTTCTTAGTTTATACACCGAGATTTTTTTTTTAGTGTGACGATTCAACACGAACATTTTTCACAGTGCAGATATGCTGTTTCTGAAATACGTTGAAAAAGTTGGCTGCGTCTCTCGATCTTTTTTTCCTTCGAACGATCTCGGTGCCGAGGTGCGTGATTGTTTCCACGGGGCGGTCGTTCTAGTTGAGTCATCTCGAGGCAGGTGTCCGCCACCGATGGTTGGTGGCCCGTCGACGATGGTCGGTGCCCCGCGCGCAACGTCTCAACAACTCGAGCGATTAATCTAACTGAACCCGGCCCCTGCCGATCTGAATATCTGGCCCGTAATCGCCGGAAGAGATCGCTCCCGGCTCCGAAACAACTAAGCTCATCCGTGGAGTTTCCTCCTCGTAGGTAAAATGATATTCCAGCGGGCAGATTGTTGAAATTGATAGACAAAGCTACACAAAGAACACAACAAAGAGAGAGAGAGAGTTTTGTCTATACAAAGAAGACAAAAGGGATATGGAGGGGTCGTTTGGAAGCGGGTGGTTGCAGATTGTTGAAATTGATAGACAAAGCTATAGACACAGAGGACAAAAGGGATATGGAGGGGTCGTGTGGAAGCGGGTGGTTGCAATGGACAAAGGCAGAAGGTAAATAGACTAACTAACGGCAACCCACGAGAAACCCGACAGTTGTCCATCAATTTCTCCCTTAGTCTATACACCCATGCTAAGGAAAAACGCCTGAATGAAAACCCCGCCCCCCCCCCCCCGGGGGTGGGGGTGTTCAGCTCAGGCAGCTTGCATTGGAATATTAAGTTGAGATCACGCCGAGAGATCTATAACGTTTTGGGTCTTTTTAGACCTCATCAGATCTCACTCGTCAGTGAACCCGACTTGGAATCCCGCAAAATCCAAGACGACATGGAAACGACGGCATCAATTTCATGTGAGGTCATCGAAAAATTCATAAAGTACATTCATGTTACCCATAAGTTATTGCAACTCGTTTTTAATTAATAATTTTGATGTTTTTCTGTTTTCAGGTGAGAAAACTGATGACTTTGAACCTACATTTCTCATAAAAGGTCACGTAAGCACCCCACTATTTTTTGTCAGTGTTCTAAACTTTACATGGATCGCAATCGCCAAAAGGAACCAGCGTGATTACTGTGTTGTAAAAATGTTGCTTTTCATAAGTTCGTGCCTAAAAAATCTCCCATGCAGAATAACGAAAGGTTTTTCCTTCCCACCAAAAAATTGTAAATTTTAAAGACAAATAATAGTGTAATTTTGAATTCTCTGCATATATTTGGTAATTATAAAAGAAAAGAAGAAGTGGCATAGTTTTGGAAACATACCGTAATCGCGCTGGTTGCTTTTTGGTAAATGCTATCCACACTACCATAAGCGTTTAAACTCTGGAGCTGTTGAAATCGTTAGCGTCTTCACCTAGGTGATTCGATGGACGCCATATTTTGTGTCAGAACAGCATGCGATATATCGCATCAATTGGTTCCATTTTTTCAGCTACTCGTCAGATTTCTCCAATTTTAAGATCGCAATTCCGTTGTCAGGAGACTGAAGCACTCACTTACCATTTTTTACAAAGAAATACAACGTAATAAAGGCGTGGTTTTTTTAGAGAGAAAACATCGAATTCGATACTGATATCGAAACTGCACTAAAATGCGATATTTTCTCTCTAAAAAAACCACGCCTTTATTACGTTGAATTTGTTTGTTAAAATTGGTAAGTAAGTGCTTTAGTCTCCTGAAAACAGAATTGCGATCTCAAAATTGGAGGAAAATGACGAGTAGCTGAAAAAATGGAACCAATTGATGCGATTTATCGCATGCCGTTCTGACACAAAATATGGCGTCCATCGAATCACCTTAAACATGAGACCCCTGAATCAATCACAACAATAAGACTTCTTGAAACGGCAACAATGTTGGAAAGGACTGGAATATTACGGTTCCCGCAACCGCGGAAGAGGGCCCAACTGTCTCCGTGATAGTAATTGACGGACTACTCAAACTATTTGACTTCAAACTCGGACCATTTGACTCAGCGTCGAATCGAGCTAACACAAATTGGCACCTTGGAACCCGCACTTGATTACGATAGACCACCGGCTCAGCTTCTTTCCCTCGTCGTTGTCAATGTAGATGTATATCTTCCGACTGAGTTTTATGTCTGCCCTCATTTTTAGGCGCAAAAAGAGCTGGCAACGTCCTGTATACGCACATTGATTATTACGTTTGAAATTGTTTGAATTAAAATACATCATCAAATTACTCAGACAGTAAAATCGTAATAACTTCGATGCTTGCTTCTGTGTTTTATGGTTGAGCCGCAGACGTAATTGAGAGGCTTTAGAGTCGCGAGTAAGAGGAAAAAACCTTAAAACCTGATAACTTCAAAAACCTTGATTCGCCCGAATAAATCTGGTCAATTACATGGCCGGATTTACCTACTTGCCGCCCATGGGCCGCCTATATTTAGCCACCCTCTTCTCATTCATTTTGAAATATCAATAAAAACCATCAAGTGAACGTGCCAAAGGGAGAAGGGTGCATAAGACGCGTTCACTCGTGTTGGACACATATTTGCGTAAACCCTGTCAACACTACAGGCAAAAGTTCACGGAACTTCGCGCGAAAGTTCAGTTCTGTAAACCTATCTCTATGGGGACAAGGCCAATCATTTGTAAGAAATGAACTAAAAAATTAAGAAAGAACAAACATGAATGTAGTATAATAATTATAACTTCCACAGTCGTGCCGCGCTGACCACACTGTGTTTGGCGCAATGCGTGAAGTATTCATGTAGTTTTGTAGGCTCTATGCGTTTCACGCCGCGCCGACCGCTATTGACCACACGGTGTTAGATGCAATGCGTGAAGTATTCATGCAGTCTCGTAGGCGCTATTATGTATTACATGCCGACCACCGCGGCGAGGGCTTCTCCTTTTCATCTCAAGTCCTCGTCATCATTTCTCTTTGCGCCGCGCCGCGCCGCTCCAGGCCAAATTACGTGTTTGTTTTCGCTCTTAACTCTAAATGTGCGCAGTCTTTTGTATCACCGAAATAAGTCAAAATTAGAAATTAATGAACTCTTAGGAAATGAGAGATTTTGTCACCTTTTCTTGTTTGTAATTTTTTTCTGAATCCGATTTTTTTTTACCTGCATTTAAAAAAATTGCAAAATTTGCCGCCCCCTAATTTTGCCGCCATGGGCCGCGGCCCATGTGGCCACCCCCTTAATCCGGCCCTGGTCATTTATAAGGAAACTCAGAAGAGAGAAGTCTTCGCACAGAGAAGTCTTCGCACAGAGAAGAAAAATCACGGCCGTCTTAAAGAACTTCCGTTGACTAGTTTTCCGTCTAAAAATTAAAGTATGACAGAAAGTCTGCAACGTCGCAAATCGAGTTACGTGATTTGAGCTTTCAATTTTAAATTATTTTTAGGACTATAGAAAGCCCCTTTGGATACCTGTATAGTGTAGATTTTACACAGGTTTTCACCTGGTTTAGGTGCGGTTTTTCCCCACTTATATTTATAGGAGAAAGTCTGGAGTATGGTATCAAGACCAAGATCTGCACTGAAATGGAATCATTCTGACAGCGTTATAGTGTGGTCGCGGATGGCAGGTTAGTCTGGATCGAAAAATCAATTTCCCAGCATCCCAAGTTATAAGTTAGCTCCTAAGGCTCAGCCCAGTCTCCACGCCCAACTTTCTTCACATTCCTGCGGACCATCTCAGTCTCAATTAGAGTCACTCTCGGCTAATCATCGGGCAAAACAGTGGGCAGGCTTTCCGATTACACATTTGCCAGACCTCCGTTCCAAATCATCACTGCACTGATAAAAAATTCTCGGAGTTTTTCCCAAGGTCTGTTGGTACCTTTACCATCTCACTTTTTTTTACCAATTATTGGTAATTTTACCAAGACAGACTGGTAAGCTTACCTAAAAACCGGTATTTTTACTGTTTTTTTCAGGTAAGAATACTACTTTTATTGGTAATCAATTCCCGGTAACTTTGCCATTTTATCTCGGTAATTCTACCACAGTCGATAAAAAATATTGGCGTTTTTACCAAGGTCCAGTAAAATTACCGAGAAAGTTAAATAATTTTACCGAGATTTCTCGGTAAATTTTAATATTTTTGTGTGATTTAAAATTCCCATACAATTTTGAAGAAAAATACCAGCAATTTGCTTTAATTAGACTGCCTTTTGCAACCAGGAACCACACTTTCTGGCTCAGTCTAAAAACAACGCAAGGACCATTAGTTTCCCTATGCCATGGCCGGATTTACCTACTTGTCGCCCTCTTCTCATTCATTTTGAAACATCAATTTAAAATCATCAAGTGAACGTGCCGGAGGGAAAAGAGTGCATAAGACGCGTTCACTCGTGTTGGACACATTTTTTACGTAAGCCCTGTCAACGCCACTAGCAAATGTTCACGGAACTTCGCGCGGAAGTTCAGTTCCGTAAACCTATCTCTGTGTGGACAAGGCCTTTCATTTGTAAGAAATGAACTAAAAAATTAAGAAAGAACAAACATGAATGTGGTTTAATAATTTTAACTTCCGCCGCCGTGCCGCGCTGACCACACTGTGTTTGGCGCAATGCGCGAAATATTCATGTAGTCTTGTAGGCACTGTGCGTTTCACGCCGCGCCGACCGCTGTTGACCGTACTGTGTTTGACGCAATGCGTGAAGTATTCATGCAGTCCCGTAGGCGCTCATATGTGTTACTCCTTTTCATCTCAAGTCCTTTTCATCATTTCTCTCTGCGCCGCGCCGCTCCAGGCCAAATACGTGTTTGGTTTCTCTCTTAACTCAACTATAATTAAAGGTGCGCAGTCTTTAGTATCACCGAAATATGACAAAATTAGAAATTAATGAACTCTCAGGAAATGAGAGATTTTGTCACCTTTTCTTGTTTGTAATTTTATTCTAAATCCGATTTTTTTTTGTACCTGCATTTAAAAAAAATTGCAAAATTTTCCGCCCCCTAATTTTGCCGTCATGGGCCCATGTGGCCACCCCCTTAATCCGGTCTTGCCCTATGCACATATATGTTTTCACGAATGAACCTGAAATCATAGTTCCTAATTGCAAAATGTAGTTCAATTCATACCTTGCCATTTATGATTTTTCTCAATTTTTCATAAGCAGTACCAAACCCTGCACTCAATAGCGGCAACGCAGCGTTGACGTCCAATGCATCGAAGTTCGAGACTTATTGGACGGTGTGTGATACATCGATTTAATTGCGATTTCGGATAAGGTGCTATCCGAGACCCAAGTGGGATGGGTCGAAGGGGCGTGGTGTTTCAAGCTCAATTACAGCTTTCACTTGATCCCTTCACTAAATGGCCACGGCGGTTATGAAGTTGCCTTCTCTTGTCTGATAGTTTATCGTTTTTTTTTTGTTTTTTTTTTCAAACATAAAGCAGAAGTTGGTTAGTAATAGAGTCCCTTTATACGGAGAGTCAAGACAATGTGAGTCCATTTCTGATTTGTTCCCGTATTTTAGGCCCTCACAGTGTCACAAACGGGAATTAAGATTACATTTTTACCGATTGCAAAGATTATAATCTGGCATGGACCAGGGAATTACGGGTTCGGCAAGGAACAAACGGAATGAGAAAAAGAACGAAGAAATTAATTTGAGAATGGGCCGATCAAAGATTACAAAAAACGTTCAATTTCTGTAATGTCCCGTTTGCGACTCCATGAGGGGGTGTTGTCTTGACTCTCAGTATAAAGGGACTCTAATAATTAGAGTTAATTCAATTAAATAAATAAACTTAATAATTAATTTAATAATTAAACTCTAATCATTATTATTAGTAATAAGGGTATGCTGCCGTGCTAAGGCAAAACGCCGTATGAACATCCGAGAGTTGCCAAATTTCCTTCCTTAAAATGTACATTTTTGCGGAATGTTATGCTTATTTTTTCTTAAAATTTCCTGATATTTTAGATTAAATTGTCAAGAAAATCAAGTGCACAATTGGAGGAATAATATTCAAAATTTTCCCTGTATATTTTTGTTTTATTGAAGGCAATATGACAATGCACGATGTTACATATCGATTGCACTACGAATATTTGGCTTATGTAACCATATTCTCAGTTATAAAAATCATATCCTCGGTTTATGCAAGCGAGCTTTTTCCAGAGTTTCATTCGGTTTGAAAGCTCTATTGCGCGAACCGAGGATACGATTCCCAGAACTTAAGGTAACATGAACCGAAGGCACTGCGAACCGAATAGTGTGGCGAACTAAGAACACTGTACTTACGGTTCACACGACCAACATTTTTTTTCTCCGTACGAGCTGTTCTCGCACATTCTTCGCGCCGAGATATTATCATTTTCTTCTCAGTCCGGCAACAGGTATCAATATTTCGGACAGGTTATTTTTCTCTCAATTTAACCGTCCGGCGTAACGTGTTACTTTCATTTTCGATCATTGTTCCCTCCGGTGGTCAACCGAAAATAATTAAGGTGTTCAAATATGGGATTTATCCATGTCCACTCTTCCTTGTCCGATATTTATTTAAACCGGTCGCTTGAAAAGCAATCAATACCTTACTCATTTGCATGCCATCAAATTTCAAGATATTGCTCGACGAATGAAATTTTTATCAGTTATTAAAAACCGGAAGGAAATCGGATGAAAACCCACGCGGATGCTTTGCGATATATCGATTTATCTGCCATTTAGACCTATGAAAAGGATCGATAAGCAGGGTGCTCGCAACGGACGCCGGAATAATCGATTCTTTGCCATAGCTTCAAGAAGGGCAATATCGATAATCGATCATTCACGCCTCGCCACTGAAACCGGAGGCAAACGTAACCTGTTAGTTCACGTGCCCTGGACCAAAGTCAACACGCACGCAAATTCAGGTGTCTTTATTGCGTTACGCTCTTTGGTTCAATTTGATGTCGAATTTATGTGCCCTATGATTTCTTGGCACATAAGGAAAAATTGTATTAATTTTCGTCAGCAGTATTTTTGTGATCCGTTGATCATTTTGACCAAAAAATTGTACAATTTTAACAGCATTATACTGCTTTTCCCAAATAACACACTGCTTAAAAACACAAAATTTATTTTAAAGAAAAAGTAAATGGGATATATTTACCATGGAATGTTTTTTACAAGAAAAAAAAAAGATATGAATACACTCTCTTATTTTGACCGCTTTGTTCACGATTTTTTTGAGAAATTCTAGAACTTTAGTTATTTTCGACTATTTTTACAAACTGTTTTATTTACAACATTCAGAATAAAAATTGGCAGTTCTGCTCTTTTTACGAGCTATTTGACGAGTCTTGCTACGTATGGGTAAGTTGTTTTTTTACAAAATGCAATCCTTACCCCTCTGGGTACATTTCGTCTTTTTGGCACCGATGCTCAAGTTAGGTAATTTAAAGACGCCCTTGGAGCATTGGTTGTTAATGTTGAACTTAAAAAAAAAAAAAAAACAAGCTATGGTTAAAATGCTTGACTTAGGAAAGTGTTCTTTTCAAGGTAAAATTGCTGTGAAATTGACGTTAAAAAAGTTATGAAAATAAATCGGCATAAAACTTGTATCAAATTCTAAGAATCAATTAAGATGCAAACACAAAATATACAACTAAGATATTTACCCATTCACGTCATACGTATGTATTATTATGTTGAAAATAAAGTTGTGAAAAACTTGCAAAAGCGCAAAGCGGAATTTTTACGTATCAAAGATCAAACAGAGTCTCCTAACTCGGATATTAAAACATGTTTATGAGTTTACTCTTAGACATTCATGAGATTTTCAACTTATTTTTGGGCAGCCGAGGCTATTAGGGTGCATCACTTTTGTCTAGTTGCTCTTTGTTGGGCGAACCTATGTTACTCTTATATCGGCCTCTGCTAAAAAAAAAAAAAAAAAAAAAAAAAAAAAAAAAAAAAAAAAACACTCGGCGGTTTGGTAACTTATCCTACTTTGAGGAGATCGCGCTTCACTTGATATGTTCCCATTCCTCGGGAGCGAGTAATTAAATTCTGTGACCGCAACTGCGAAGTTATCATTTGAGCTGATCCGAGACAGGTCCTATATTGCCATGCTAAGGAAAAACGCCGTAAGAGCCTTCAAACGTTGCCATATTTCCTTCAATAATAATTTAAATTATTGGGAAAATTGTGAAAATCTTTCCTCAAAATTTTCAGACAGTTGCTGGCAGCCTAGTCTAAAAGATCTGAAAATTTCAAGGGAAAATTTTCATAACTTTCCTCATAAGAATAAAGCACAAAAACACAGCCCGAATTTATGAATAAATAAGGAGGGAATTAAAAACATGGGCAAACAAGGCTAAAGCATTAAAAGCATTAAAAGGCAGGACGTTTCGAGCTGTTACCAGCTCATTTTTAGCTGCAAAAGACACAAAAAAGTTGGAAAAAAATAAGTTAAAAGGTCGCCACTCAAGTTTTTACTTATTTTTTTGTGTTTTTTGCTGAAAATGAGCTGATAACAGCTCGAAACGTCCTGCCTTTTATTGATTTTAATGTTTTAGCCTTACACGGAAAAAAATCAATTTGCCGATTCAACAATTCAATTGCTAAAAACAGTGAGTGCAATGTTTCA